TCCTGAGCACTGCTAGGCTATCCCACTCCTCAAAAGAAAAAGAAAAAAGTTGTGCTAACAATGTAAGAATTGGTGAAAAGTAAAAGTTAATATGCTAACATTGCAAAAATCTTTCTTTTAAAATTAGCAGTTTTTAATACTAAATTATTTATTATAGAAAAGTTAGAATTAGAAAAAACCTCATCTTCCAGTCACCTTGCAAAATGTAGTTACATAACAATATAGATTTATTGAACATGAAGGATTTTTAAAAATATTCTTTTGTTGATTCTTTAAAGGGACTATGGAATATTTTAGGATGGGTGATCTTTTAGCATTTATTTCACTAGCTACATTTCTCATTCATTATCGGAGTTAACCAAACAAATTGCTCCACCAACTAAGAACAGCCATGCACCACCACCCATGGAATAGAGAAAGAGCTATCAATCTGTCAATCCTGACCGTGTCTGGACCGGGTGAGATTTCTTGTATTTTTTTTTTGTTTTTTAAAAAAATTTAATGAAACAAAAATTACCTGAACATGTACCTCAGTCATTTCAATAATAATTTTGCCTTTGTTTTCTTCATGACTATATCATCATTTGACACTTTGTTTATATACTTTTGATTCCTGGTAATTTTTTTTTTAATTAGTGAAACACCATGAGGTACAGTTGTAGATTTACTATTTTTTGTGCTTGGGTTTTGATTATACAATGATCAGATACCCATCCCTCCACCAGTGCCCAATTTCCACCACCATGGATAATATCCCCCCCACCCCCATCTCCCCATCCCCCTCTGCCTCTGTGGCAGGGCAATTGCCTGTGTTCTCTCTCTCGTTTTGGGTGTTGTGGTCTGCAAAAGAGTCATTGAGTGGCAAACATGTTCAGTCCATAGTCTACTTTCGACATGCATCTCCCCTTCTGGGAGGATCCCTGTATTTCTAGGGCTGGAGCGATAGTACAGCGGGTAGGGTGTTTGCCTTGCATGAGGCCAACCAACCAAACCGGGTTCAATTCCTCCACCCCTCTTGGAGAGCCCGGCAAGCTACTCGACCCTCACGGCAATGCCTGGCAAGCTATCCGTGATGTATTCGATATGCCAAACACAGTAACAACAAGTCTCACAATGGAGACATTACTGGGCCCACTCGAGCAAATCGATGAACAACGGGAGGACAGTGACAGTGACAGTGAGTTACATTTCTAATAATGGGAAATAGTCTGACAGACTTTAGATGAATTATAAAATGTTGGGACTTAGAGACATATTTGAGTTAAAATGTGTTTTCTATACATAATAAAAGGAAATATGTATAAGAAATTCAATAATTTTAAATGGAAAGAAAACAGTTCCAAATTACATGTACCTGTAAAACATAGTATGAAATATATGAAGCAAAAGGTGATAGAACTATCAGAAAAAAATAGGAAAAGTTCATAATTATAATTAGATATTTAAGCATTCCTTTCATGATAATTGATAGAACAAAGTGAAAAAAAATCGATATAGAGAAGACTTGACCAATACTGTTAGCCACCTAAACCTAATCAAGACAGAAATCGAACAGGAAAATAGAATGCACTATGAAAGGGGAAATTAACTGGCAGTTATGCCCCCCACCACCTGCCTACCTTTGGGGCGAGGGGCCCCCCATTGGCACAGATTCTGAGGTATAGTTCTGAGTCCCACTTCCTGCGATCTAGAACCAGCAGAATTCCCTTTTGCCTTAGCACCCTTTGGGGCCTTTGTGGCTGAACAGGGACCTTCGTGCTTGCTGTCACTGCAACATTCTACCCCTGAGAATGTACTTAAAACCTAATGCATATCCTTTTCTTTCCAGAGAGAGTCCTGTACCTGACTTGCAGTTTCTTTTGAAATGCCCATAATTAGTGAAAACCAAAATCACTTGGTTAAACACCCCAGGATCTTCATCTTAAATACGCTTAAACTCCGTGTTTGTACATGGAAACCTAATGATCTTGAACTATCTGAGAATTATGTCCATGATAGTCATTCAGAATAAGTTTACCTTTTATGAACTTTTTTATTTGGCATGTCATATTTGCATATATACATATGTGATAAATAGCATTTAGTGCTCAGAGATTAAAACTTCATCAGTAATCATGTTATATGAGGCATTACTGTATGTGGGGGCTTTTTTTTTATCACAAATATATATATTTTTCCTTAAATTTTTATTAGTGAAACACCATGAGGTACAGTTGTAGACTTACAAATTTTTGTGCTTGGGTTCCAGTTATACAACTCACAGCTGTCTTAACTAAGATATTGGATTACATTCTTGATCTCTTCTTTTCTTGTTAGCCTCAATTACAGTCTTTTAACTAGCATTCCCATTTCAATACGTGTAGCCCTCTGATCTTTTCTTTACATATGCACTAGAGTAAATGTTTGAAGAATAAAAATTAAAGCATATCTTATCTTTGTTTAAACCTTTGATTGCCTTCTGATTGTACTTAAAAGAAACAAAAAAACTTTCTTTTTTAAAGTTGTTGAGTGCCACCTGGCAATGCTCAGGGCTTACTCGTGGCTCTGCACTCGGGGATCACTCCTAGTGAACCCTGGAGACAATATAGGATACTGGGAATCCAATCCAGGTAGGCCACTTGCAAGGCCAACGCCCTTCCCACTGAACTCTAACTCCAGGCCATTAAAAGAAAAATAAAATTCTGAAACTCGATCCTGTAACCTGGCCTTTATTGTCACCTTTCCTCAAGACTCAGAGTGCCTATGCCATGGCACTTTCCTGCAGTACTCCAAACGGGACTTGTTCTCACTTCATGACCTTCCCAGAAACTTAGGACATAAATCCTTCAAATTTTAATTCCTGCAAAAAAAAATTTCCTTTAAATGATTCCCATTTAAACCCCCTCTGCCCATCAATCCATAAATTTTTGTCTGGTTGATTTTTCAATTCTTACTTAGTTTTCCATCATTGCTTCAAGGCTATCTCCCAGAGGGATTTAAGACCTCAGGTCTACATGTAGTATTTTATTTTCTAGTTCTTATTATAGCTACCATATTTTTATTATATTATTTTCATATCATTGTTTAATGGTTCTGTCTTCTTCAAGCCCATATTATATTCTTCTGTTTTCAGCTTTGTAGAGGGACTTCAAAACACTGCTCAGGGGAACTTCTGGTGATAATCAGCCAGCCGGGCTGCTGGATGATACATGGTTGCTCAGGCTCTGGAATGCCAGGGGCTACCCCTGTGTTATGCAAGGATCGCTACAACCATTCCTTTTGGTGCTCAGGGTTCTCCCTATGTGTTCAGTTATGCTTGGGGACCATGAGCTTCCAGGAGTTAAACAGCCATGGTACATGTAAAGCATTTGCCCGAAACACTGTGTTCTCATATCTCCAGCCCCAACACTGGGTTTTATGTGTTCTTTGATTAGCTCATAGTAGGTGCACAATAAATTACTGTTGAATAAATGAGTGAAAGAAAAAAAAGTATCACTGTCACTGTCCTCCTGTTGTTCATCGATTTGCTCGAGCGGGCCCAATAACGTCTCCATTTTGAGACTTTTTGTTACTGTGTTTGGCATATTGAATATGTCGTGGATAGCTTGCCAGGCTTTGCCATGAGGGCAGGGTACTCTCGGTAGCTTGCAAGCTCTCTGAGAGGGGCGAAGAAATCGAACCAGGCTCTTACCATGGGAACCTACCATGGGAAATTTACCATGGGAATGTGTTAAAACTCCTATTTTTTAATCTATAAATAAAGTCATTTGAAGTTATTATACCCATTTTTAGCTTAAATTTAAAGAGAAGGGCATTTATATCATTTATGAGAGAAAGGCCTTTTCTCTGTTTATTTTTGTGTATTAAATATTGTTAGATGACTAATAGGATTAGTTATAATGATTATGGAGAGCAATCTAGTTAAATTCTAGCTAGTATTTTAACCACCAAATTGTCTTTATTGACCTAGTAGTTCTTCCTAAGAATTTATGATAAGGAATAGTTCTAAATATGGAAAAGATCATTATATTTAAAAATATTTCTCATGGTGCTATTTATAAGCTTAAAACATGGGAAACTGCAGACTGAAAGTAGTAACTGAGTTAAACATTGTGTAATTCTAGAAAATATATGAGTAACACAAAATTAAAGGTTAGGATAATATAACAACTTTGAAAATGTTTATAGTGTTAATCTAAATAAATGAAGAATACAGAATTTTATAACAGTGTTTATAAATCTTATTCACAAGTTTTAAAATGACTAGACAGAAATATGTCACATTATTATAGCCATAGGTGATTCCCTTCATTTTTTTTTCATGCTTTAAACACACACTTGTGTGTGTGTGTGTGAGAGAGAGAGAGAGAGAGAGAGAGAGAGAGAGAGAGAGAGGGAAAGAGAGAGAGGGAGAGGGAGAGAGGAGGGGTGGCAGTTTGGTTTTAGGGCTATACCTGGTAATGCCAGAGCTTATTCCTGAATGGTTTTGTGTTCTGGAATCACTCCTCGTGGTTCTCAGGAGATCTTATGAGGCAGCAAGATCAAATTCCACCCCCGTACAATCTCTCTGGCCCCAACATATTTTTTTAGCAAGCATTACATAATGACATTAAATTGTAATATGATGTGACTTGGTCTGGAGTGATAGCATAGCGGGTAGGGCGTTTACCTTGCAAATGTTTTTGCCATCCCTCTCAGAGAGCCCGGCAAGCTATTGAGAGTATCCCTTCTGCATGGCAGAGCCTGGCAAGCTTCCCGTGGGTATTTGATATGCGCAAAACAGTAACAAGTCTCATTTAGTATTCCTGGAGTGAGCAGATAACATTAGGCTACACTAGCACACAACAGGGATGAATGGAGATGTTGCTGGTGCCCACTCGAACAAATCAATGAACAACAGGACGACAGTGCTACAGTGTTATGATGTGACTTATATGTTGAATTTGATCTTTAATACACTTAAAGAAGCCTGATTCTTACATTTTATAAGCGTTCCTAAAATGCCATGTTCTCTCTTTCAGGTTGATAGAAGCTTTACTGAAAGTTCTCTTACTCGTGGGTTAGATCACTCACCCACTTGTCAGGGTCACAGCCGCTTCCTGTCTAGTCCACAGTTTTCACTCTTGAATTGTAAGTAATGAAGCTTTGTACTGTGGTTGAAATTGGATTTTAAAATTTAAGAAAATGCAACTCATAGAAAGGTTAAAGTGTAAGGCCCAATACATGGTAGTCACATTCACCATATAAACTAGAAATATTTTTCACTATGAAATATGGAAACATGAAAATATACATGGGATCCTTTCATGACTAGGTTTGGGATTTGTCAGAAAAAAACTGAATTAATCAACCAAAATAAAAATCTAATTTTAGTGTGGAGATCACCAATATGGATGACTGGGTGAAGGAATTTAAATACTATTCTAAGAAAGGTAAAATCATCAAAAGGTAGAAATGATTTTGCACAGAACTATTCACAAGTACCTAATGTTGTTCAAATAAGGATACTAAAATTACTACTGGATTTCATTCTTTGTCTTCACTGTAACTATTGATCAAATGTCATCAGCATCAACAGAGTGGGAGTCTGTTGACCAAGAATACCCTGTCCAGATGTACCTTCTTCCCCATTCCTACTATACTTTTTCTTCAAGTTTCAACTTTAAGTAATTTTCTTAAAGAACCCTTTAGGATTTATAATTTTAACTGGTTTCTCTTGCGAAGCCCTTACTGTACTACAATTATTCTTTAAAATTGTTCTCTCAGGATAATTATAGAGCTAGTTGAGTTTTGCTTCTTAATTCTACTCTTTATCTTAAACTCAATTATGATAGGAGCAGCTTGTCTTTGTTCACCACTTTTTCCTCAACATGCTACATAGTAATTACCACATAGTAAATACACCGTTAATACAGAATTGCTATATGTTGCATTTTTTTTGCTTTTCTAATATCACCTTTATTCAAATATTGAGACCAAAATGTTATATAATCATTTATTTAACTCTTTAATTTATGAAGGATATATCAGACATATTCAATTTGACAGCTTTGTCATTTGGAAAAAGGCTAGATTGCTATGAAATAAAATATCAAAATAAGACCCAAAGAAGTAGGTCAATTCCAAAATTTTTAACTCTCACTTTTGCTGCTTTATATTCATGGATTCACTGAATAAATATTTATAGGTTTCTTATAAATGATTTGGTTTTCAATATATCATGATTAATATATTCCAAAAGTTAAGCATTTTCTCTTTCCTATACTTAGCCTATTGAACAGGTGATTTTATAAATCTACATAAACCCTCTGCTATTCCAATCTGACTGTGGCTTTCAGTTTGGATCAAGTCTCAGTTAGGGTTCCTTACAATATGATAGCACAGCATTTTAGTGTTTTATACTAATCAATGTAAAAATTATTCAAGTCTCTTTGGTGTACAAAAACAGGAAGGAGGAAGGTAGGACAAGGCATGTCATAGTAACCCATATATTGAAGCATTTTAGAGCCTCGAGATAAACAACACTATAATAAAAGCACAAAGTCTTCATTCTACTAATCCTTAATGTTGCCATCCTGTCTTTTATGAGGCTCTACTGGAAGGCTCTATACGGGGAAGTGCCTTCTTAAAAGAAGAAGATATTAAAATATATTAAAAGGCAATGCTCAGGGGATACTCCTGTCTCTGTGCTCAGGAATTACTCCTGGTGGTCCACGGAGCAGTTTATGGGATGCCAAGGATTGAACTAGTGTTGACTGTGTGCAAGGCTAGTGCTCTATCTGCTGTACTATTTCTCCAGTCTTGAACAGATGTCTTTTAGAGTATCATTAATGTCTTCAGAGATACAGAACAAGTGTTACATTCATTAAAATAACGATGATGATGATGATGATGATGATGATGATGATAAAGGGGCTGGAGAGCTAGTGCAGTGGATATATCAGTGAATAATATACTAGCTTTATATGTAGCCAACTCAGGTTTAATTCCTGACACCACATATAGTCTCCCACACCCCTCCCGGAGTGATCTCTAAGAGCAGAGCCTGGAGTAAGCCCTGAACACTGCTGGGTTTGACTTTGACCCCAAAATCAAAACAACAACAAAACTAAGAACAAGATGATATTAAAGGGGGACATGGGCTCAGAGAAATAAAAATTTTAAATATGAACTAGAAAGATGGAAGCAATGCTGAGAAAAATCACACGTAGAAAATGGATGAAAAAGAATGGAAGAATCCAAGAGGAAAGACATGTTTAGAAAATCAGTTCAAGAGGGACAGTTCCTGATAAGGAGAGTCTTGGAATGAGGGAATGAAGGAAACTGATTAAGAATTCCCAGAAACTGATTAAGACTTTCTTCCACTGGCTAAGATGTTCCCAGAAATTGATTAAGAATCTCTTCAGCTATTGTTCTTCTAAAGCCATTGCACTGTTGTCTTCCAAGATTCAGATGCTATTGAAAAAGCTCATGCTTTTTAAAATTTGAATGGGGAAATTCTCCCGAACAGTGCTCAGGGCATTTAAAGGCCATTTCTGGTGAAACTTGGACTGGATACATGTGCAGTACCGTGCATTACTTGGATCCATCAAGTAATGCACTATATGGCATTACTTGGGCCAGGTGATCCACAAGGAGTAATACTAGCGAATCATTCCTGGGGTCTCAGCATGTCAACCAAATGTGTTGCAGCACTTTGAGCTATTTCTCCAGTCCCATGATTTATTTTGACTCTTTCTCCTTTGACATAATCTCCACTATCAGTATACTTTCTCCTCCCACCCACTTCTGGCCTTAGGAGCTTTTCAGATCTTTTTAATGTCAGGGAATTTTGTGAAGATATACCCTGTATGGATCTTGTTTTTATTCACTTTTCTAGCTGCTTGCTAGATTGAACTGTTTTAATCTAGCTTCTATTTTTCAATTCTGTCATATTGAAAGGAAACAAATTTCCACTGGGCAGATTTTTAGATAACAACAACAACCACCACCACCACAACAAAACCCTCCAAATCTCAAACTTCTCTTATATAGTCAAACACTTAGAAAACAACTGCTAATGGAGACAAAGCAGGTCCACTTGAGCTTTGAGAAATAATTGAGGATGGCCATAGGAAAGGAGCAAACAACATATAAGACAGAAATAACATGAGTCAATAACAGCAGAGGAAAATATAAATAAGAATAGAAACATTGTCATTTATTTTGGTGACACATATTTATAGAGATATTACTATAAACATCAGGATGTAACTAGAAATTCAAATGGGACTGTGTTGGAAGGATAGCATGAAGACTGGACTGTGCATAGTTTAAAAATGATGTTATAAAATAGCAATTTTTCAAGCTTTTTTTTTTGCCTTATGAAAATTGAAGTGTAGAAAATAAAGCTAAAAGAGTTCATTGTGGTAGACTCTGGGAATGAGGATTGTGGGATTGGGAGGGCCCAGCCAGGTGTCTACTGTCATTCTCTGGTATTACTTGATAGGTGGGTGTAAATGCTGGCTACAATGGATTCTTATAAAAATGAAGGGCCAAACTAAGAAAACCCATAGAGCTATGTCTCCCTAGCAAGTGTTTCATTTTCTTATTAAATTCTGAATGAAACCTGAACATTGAGGTTAAGGGTTTAGAGCAGTTTAGAACCGTGTGAAGTTTTGAGTAGATAACTGTAGTTGTCGTCAGACCCCGAGTCCCCGAGCTGCGCAGTAAGCTCCTTCTTACTCAAGTTTGAGTTTTCACTGAGATGAGGTCCTTTTGTCCAAGCTGTAGGTACCAAGGCATTCATTCTGCTGACTTGGGTACCCTGTCAAGCTGTGATCAAACTAAAGCATCAAATCACTGACCATGGAAAAAAACAAAGGAAATTGGAAAATACTGCATAATTTGTGGTCTCTGAAAATGAACCCACATTAATGAAAGTTTATTTTCAGTAGTAATTTATGTCAGCTTTGTGTAGTTCAGGTCAATTCAAGAAAAGGTAGATTCCTTCTGCCAGGAAGAAGGAAAGAAATGTATAAATTGTAAGTTTATATTACCATTGGAAATAAGAACACAGAAATCCATTATTTAGAGCCATGATTACTACCAAATTTATCCTGGCTGGCTGGAAGTTATGGCCGTGATTCAGGACACTCTTTTAGAAGACTTGGATTCCATTACCTTAAGCCTGTAGACAGTGGGGGCTTAGTAAGAGAAACTCATAATGCCAGCTTTTGAGACTCTTGTTTTGACTTTTGTAAGTATTGACTGACTACTAGTCTCATGTATAGCCCCTTTTATGCTAAAGAGCACCCGTCCAACACAGGGCCTTGACTGCTGGGGCCAGAACTGGACAGGATTTGAGTGAGCTCTGTAGTCATCTAATGACTGTTTGAATTCTCAAGACCCCTGAGATTAAAATAGTTAATATTTGTGCAGTTAATGTCTCTAAACTAACTTCTAAAATGAAGTATTTTAACTTCTAAAATAAAATGAAGATTCAGAATTCAGTTATAAAACCATTGCAGTGTTTATGAAGGTAGGTAGTTGATGGAAAGGTGGGTAGATAGATGAGCATCAGAAGAGAACTATTATTTTTTATGGGAAAATGTGATATGGGGGTTATTATAGGAGTTGGAAGTAAATCTTACATATTAATTGAACCTAATGGTTTTAGAAAAGCAAATCAGTAAAATTGGCTAAAAAGAACTTTATTTCATTCACTACCTTACCTTAGTTTGCATTGCTAGGGAGAGGAGGAAAATGTATTCATAAACTGTGTTTTGAGGTGTTGCCTTTGGTGAGAGTTTAAGTTTCTTGAATATTAAATAATTTATCACCCCAAATAATAGTCCACTCTTTTCACTTCAAAGTTGTGTTTCAGGATCCATCCAACTAACTAAATCTTACTTATATGTAGCCTTTCTCATATTTGTAGAACAAAATGCCAAAGATCCATAGCAATAAAAACATTGCAAGTACTGATAAGGTTAAGAAAATAGTGTCTTGTCCATTAAAGGTTGTGTTTATTACATGAAAGTGCAGGTTTTCTGTCTCTATTTTACAGCTTTATTGTATTTGATTTTGGTTGTGTGTGTGAGAGAGAGAGAAAGAGGAGAGATAGAGAAACATTTTTTGCAGTTTTTTTCCATGACCAGCTAGATGCCAGTTACTTTTTAAATACTTGACTCATTATTATAATTTGTCAAAGTGCTCTCCAGATGCTCTCTAGCAAGTCACTAGAAAACCACCAATTGCCAATCTCTCAAAAGGGAAAAAAAAAACCCTTATGTGTCTTTACATTTTTAAGCAATATTTAATGTGTTATTCACAAGGCTCTGGTTCTGGAAGATGCAGTCATAAATGAGACCGAAAAGGTAGCTGTCACGGCACTGCTCTGAGTGGTAATGAGGAGATGGCTTTCTGACGAGGGTCCCACTGAGCTGGACAGAACAAGAACCAACTGAGTTTAAATTGGGTGGTAATGGGGCTGGAGAGATAATACGGTGAGTAGCGTGTGCTTGCGCTGCACTCAACCAACTCGAGTTTGATCACCTGCACCACATATGGTCCCCCAGTCCCTGCCAGGTATGATCTCTGAGTGCAGAGCCAGGAGGAGGCCTGGAGTGCTGTTGGGTGTGTCCCCCCATGCCTCCCATCCCCACCAAATAAAGAAATCGGTGGGAAAGTTCTGATACAATGAATAAATAAGCACAAAGGCTCCAAGAGAAGAAAGAGATGGTGGTGTAACAGAGAGGTGGAATAATGTGAGTGCATGACTGCATGAGTGTGAGTGAGTGTGTGAGTGCATGAGCACATGAGTGTGTGAGAGTGTGAGTGCGTGAGCACATGAGTGAGTGAGTGAGTCAGTGCATGAGTGCATTGAGTATGTGAGTGAGAGAGTGAGTGCATGAGTGCGTGAATGAGAGTGCATGAATGAATGAGGTTCCAATGATGGCTTTTCAGCCATTAATAATTATTAATCTAATAGATACTTGGATTTTATTCTTCAATTCACCAGGTGGCCATTGATGAGATGGAAGGTGAGATAGCTGTGCAGGAGAGTGGCATAATATGATTTTCCTTTTAAAAAATAAAATTCTGGGTGGAGAAGGTTGATAGATCTTTGACCCCAGCTGACATAGACGAAAACAGAGATAAGTAAAGTGAAGGAAGTAGAAGTTTATTGGGGTGTGCTCCCGGACAGACTCTATGAACCTCGGGTGAGGAGAGCCACACCCCAGGAGGGACTAAGTGGCTTTTTAAGTTGTCTTGGGCGAAAAGGGGAGAAGGGAACAAACGCCAGTGGAACCAGTGTCCTTGGTCTGGCCTGTTATCTGTAGGGCATGGATGCGAGGAAGCATGGAGTGAGGCCTGTGACTTCCTGTCGCCAGGTGGGCCATAAGTCCTGTCTTCCACACTGGGGACAGGATGATCTGATCCTGGGAATGTCACTGTCTCATCAGCCAGTTGTGATTTGGTCCCGTTTGCCATTTTATCTGAGCAAACCTCACAAAGGGAGCAAATGAAAAAAGGAAGAGAGAAAATGCACACCTAGGTCAGGGTGATGGCAGTGAGGCAAAATCACTAAAGACTTTGGGAAGTAAGATCATCAGACCCACCCTTCCGTGAACCAGAAGGAAAGAAAGAAAGAAATCACAAAGGCTTAAGAAGTCAGGTAGTGGGGACTGGAGCTATAGCAAAGCAGGTAGGGCGTGTGCCTTGCAGGCAGTCGACCTGGGTTCGATTCCCAGCATCCAATATGGTCCCCCGAGCACCGCCAGGAGTAATTCCTGAGTGCAAAGCCAGGAGTAACCCCTGTGCATCGCTGGATGTGACCCCCCCAAAAAAATAATAAGTCAGGTAGATGGAAATAATGGAATCTGTCCCTCAAGAAATCTGTCTCTCTCCCTCTCTGTGTGCCTCTGTCTCTCTGTCTCTCTGTGTCTCTGTCTCTCTCCCATTCTCTCTGTCTCTCTTTCTCTCTCTGTGTCTCTCTGCCTCTCTCTCTCTCTGTCTCTCTCTGTGTGTGTGTCTGTCTGTCTGTGTGTCTATCTGTCTGTCTCTCTCTCTCACTCACTCTCACTGCCTTTCCCTCTCCCTCTTTCTCACATTTATCGTACTCTATCCCTATGGGGGCATTAACAGTCTCCAGTCAACCCATATCAGAGATATTCTAGACACTTTCACTTTCTATACAGCATTCAATAAAAGTTCGATGAGATACTTAACTCTTTCTTTAAAATACACTTTGTGTTAGATGATTCTCCCTAATAGTAAACTAATGAAAGTGTCCTGAGACCATTTAAGGTGGGCGATGCAAGGCATCGGGAAGCAGCTTGCTCACAGGGCTGGAGTGCTAGCTTCACCTGCGGGAGGAATCCCCTGAGCCTAACCACAGCAAGCTTAGAGCATAGAACTGAGCTGGAATAGCCCTTGAGCACTGCTGGGTGTGACCAAAAAGACAAATTTTAAAAACAAACAAGAAGGGCTAGACTGAGCAGGGATATTTGGTGGGTTCAGTATGTGAGATACATTTTAGAATTACAGTATCTTTTTTTTATGATGGTTTTATTGGGATGTAACCTCACTGTAAGTGAAGAACTCGATATCTTTCCCAAAATGAAGATGAGTTGGGTAGTCATCGGAGATAAGAAACTAAGCATGAAGGAGAACTGATCCTTAGTAGGATGCTTGCCACTGTGGAGGGAGGTGGGAATGATTCAGGGAAGGGACCCCTACAATGAGGACAGAAGGAAGTTGTCTCTCTGGAGAGACAACTTCTGTAAAAAGGTACAGTGATATGCAGGATACCATATCAGGAATAGTGTTTTTAACCACAGGGCCTAAAAGGGGGAAAAAAAGAGAAAAAAGTGTCTGCTAGTGAGGGAGACTGGGAGACAAGAGGGAAACTGGGGACACTGGTGGAGGGAAGGGGGTACTGGTGAAGGAGTTGGTGCTCAATTATTGTGCCCCTGAAACTCAATTATGAATAACTTTGTAGGTTTTTAATTCATAGTGATTCAATAAGTCAACTTAAAATAAGGAAGTTGGGCAGGAATATTTACACAGATATATGCAACTTATATACAACTGTATATAAGCATTCAGTTCAGAAGAGAATAGAGGTGGGTAGGTAAAGGGTAAATTTAGATTCCCGATCTTGTCTTGGTTTCCTTTCGTGTTTAATGAATAGAATTGTGAAGGAAAAAAAGAAAGAAAGAAAGAAAGAAAGAAAGAAAGAAAGAAAGAAAGAAAGAAAGAAAGAAAGAAAGAGGGAGGAGGGAGAGAGGAAGGAAGGAAGGAAAGAAGGAAGAAAGGAAGGGAGGGAGGGAGGGAGGGAGGGAGGAAGGAAGGAAGGAAGGAAGGAAGGAAGGAAGGAAGGAAGGAAGGCAGGCAGGCTCCCATGAGATTTCTCTCTCTCATGTTTCCTGTGAACTTTGTGTAATTAGATGTTAACCTCACACTCTCTCACTCTCAGGTACTCTTCAAAAAAAATAGTTATATGAATGTATTTCTTAAATACGGGAAATATTTTATTCCTACATTAAAGGCCTTTAGTCTATGTAAAGTTCATGGAAAGCTATCAAAAACAACAATTTAAAACTTTATGATCAGTCTGGAGACAATATTCATCTCCTTTTATTTTTCTCTTTTCTCTTGCCATATCAGCATTTACTCAAAGGTCTGTTTATCCTGATCCAACCTCAATCAAGGAAGATGCTATAAATTTACCGATGGATGGAGCAAGTTCACAATCCAAAAAGGAAGACTTTAAGAATGAAAAAAGGAAAATGTAATTTGTTGCCTTACCTGAGAATTTTACAAATAATAACAGCTCTACCCTCGCTGCAGTTTGGCCCTGACTCAGTATATCTGCAGCTTCTGTTCATCAGTATAAAGAAGAAAACTCACTAAGATAGCAACGCAGTTGATCTTCGTGAATGGTACAAGTTAAATCAATCCAAATGACACCAGCTCCTAAATGATATTTTATTGGCAACCAATTCTAACAGAGTGGTAATATTTTTCACTTTGTATTTTCCTTTTTTTCTGGTCAGATTTATACAACCAAAATTTGGATTTCTAATTGAAATTGTTCAAAAATTACTGGATTCAAAAGGACAAGAAATGAGTTCCCTTGAAGCAGAAATTGCCAGCATTTTAGATTCAGGGAGCATTTTATATTGATGTTTCAAATGCTTTCTCCCTAATAAATTTTCATGTGTTGTAACATGTCATGGAGATATGCTTATATGATACAAGACAGTCCACTTCATAAATGCCCTGGATTGTTACCATGCATCATCTCAGCAGTCCATTTTCCACCATCCATTTTAATACCATAAAGAACTTACAAATGATATGCGGAGCACTATAAAATCTATAGCACAATTTATTTATTTGTTGGATTTTGTGTGTGTATGTGTATGTGGCCAAATATCTCCCCGTGATCACTTCAGTCATATCTTGGGTATCTTGGGTTGCTACCTCTGACCAAAGTCACAGAGCTAAGCTCTTGTGTCCATAAGATTTACCCTCCAGGGGTTCTTATCTGATTTGTTATTTATTTTCAACACCACAGATTTTCTCAACGTCAAAGTATTTTTAAGAACTCGCCTACTTTAATGCTGATCAACTTGTGAAGAAAGATATGTACTGAGTGCTAGAAAATAGAAACATCCAGGAGTTGAATCTGACTCTGGGCAGAGACAAAGATAATAAAGCAATGCCTTCGTAATGTGTGTTACATTTTGTATTTGTTGACATACTTGTTAGATCTCTCATATTTCATCAGACACATTTGTTACCACTATCTTCTCTTTTCCTAACTTCCCATACTTGATTTTACAGAAGAAAAAGGACACTATCCTTCCATAAACTTAGAAGAAATGGTGAAGAAGACAGTAGTGTTTTCATTTTAGAAAGTAATGCAATCTATATAGCATCTGGAAATAATAAATAATAAACTACATTTATTCATTTCAAGAAATATTTTGAGTTCCCATCCTAGTCATCATGCTAGGGAAAAATGCACAAAACCATGTATCCATGTTCTTAATATGTGGATTCTGGTGCTCCAATCTGTGTTTATTAAACCACATTCAATTGTGAGTCACTGGTGACTTCAACTTGCCAAGTTCTTTGGGAATTAGAAACATATGTAAAGGTGATGATATGTGTGAATTATCTGAAGTAGTTCTGGATTAAACAATATTAAGGCTTATTTTGCTTTGTTTAACATCAGAGTTTCAAGGTGCTGAAATGCTAATGAGCATTAAAAAGTATAACTCCGAGTCACTCTTACTGTGGCACTCATAATCCCTGTGTCCTACATCCCCTTGTCACTCAAGAATTGAGACATTATATGTTTTTACTTATGTCTTAATTCCAGAATATTTTCTTGGATATGAAAGACTGAATGAAGAGATAAATAAAGGGAGGAATTAGCAGGTTTTATTTTAATCTTGTAGTTGAGGTTAAATAGCTTTCCCCTTAATGTATTACTAGAACTTCATACAGTACATTCTGTTTAAAAGGAAACCATTGTTGGAACACCTTTGGTCATTAAAAGAAAAGAAAAAAAGGAAGAATTATGTCAGACTAGTCGGACCCAAATGTTTAAGGTAACTCATACTATCATTTACTTTTAAAATCTTTCAAAAGATTTTTGCTGATCATTTTACAATGAAATGGAAAGTGGATCTAGGAAGAAACCTTTATAATCTGGAAAAAGAAGAGAAATCCCTTATTTTCTATAATCGAAGGCCCAGTGCTACTACTGGATGACTAAAAGGGTTTGATATGGCTCAAACAGGAGCTTCAAAGACAATGTCAGCTTTGTGTTTGTGTGTTCATGAGAGAGCAACAGTTTTGTCAAAATTTCTTGGTCTTCTGTTTATATGGACTTATATCCAGGGACCTGTCTCCTCAGAGGATTATACCTATCTCTTACAGTCATCACATGCGTAAATTGGAAATCAAAACTAATGCTAAGAAAACACTAACACTTGACTTGTGCAGTCCAAAGCCAGCAACTGTTTTTTCTTTACTCCCTTGGCAGGATAACATGTGACATCAATCCCATCTGAGTTGTGGCTGGTCAGCCATATTGCTTGTAGCAAAGGGATGTTGGAAAGGACACACTTTTTCTTGCAGTGAACCTCGTCCAAGCCTTAATTTGAAGACTGACCTTTTTGGTTTAATAATTTTGATTCTTCTGGCCATCTTTATCCCTAAACACACTAAACTTCCATTAAAGTTACTGAAGGCCACAGAGGGGAGAAACACAGCTGGGAGAAATCTGGCTTGATGTTTTTCCCACTGGCTAAGGTCATTATTATTTCCTTGACTAGTGTCTGATTTGAAGGTTGGAAACCAGTTGGTTATATAACATCTTGTGCATCCAGTTTTCCAGAACCACCAACTTCCTCTTATTTTTATAGTTACTACATTTTATAGAGATAAAAATCCATAGCTTAACAAAAGGGTACACATAAAGCATCTAATATAAAGGTTACATGGATCAAGTGTTCACATATTTAGCTAAGAAAAAAATTAAATTCTGCTTTTCTTTAGTTTTTTCCTCTCATCTGTGTTCAACACATTTTTCATTTTGTAGCTCCAGTCAGTAAATTGCTAAGTATATTTAAAATCACAGTAATTGTTACATTTTCACTAGTATGTCTTGAATAATTATAATTAAATAACAAGAGATGTTTTAAATGTGACCAAATTCTTACATATATAATTGGATGGCATATTTCCTAAGCAAATCCTTTTTAAAGAATGTGTACATATCTCAAATTTTTTACTCAAGATTAATGCTATGCAACTTCAACTAATATCATAAGAGCCAGGAATGTGAATTATCATTGAGAAAGTTACTTCCCAACATTCTTATACCCCCTCCTAAAACTGTCTTAAGTATTTTCTCTCAATTTAAAAGAAAAACAAACAGACATTTTGTGATTTTCATGGCCTTCAAGTAAGGAAGCTGTCCTCACGAAAGCATCTGGTTTTCTTGGACCAAAACTAAACCATGAACCTTAAGCTGGAAAGTAAATCTGGGAAAGTTTGTATATAAAGACTTTTCATGCCTCAAAGTATAATATTAAAATAGTTACATCTTTCAACTGTTTAATTCTTAAATGTTTAGCAATAAAAACATATCAGCTTATCCCGATTTGAGAAAAGGAATTTAAACCATGAAAGACTCCATTGAGTTTCATCTCTGCACAAAATATGACACATCCAATTAAAGACTTGGAGAAACACTTCCTCCTAGATCCCGAACTTTAGATTCCAAGGCATCTATGCAAATTTTAGAGACGTGTCCCTTGCTTTTGATGAGTAACAATGTAAACCAGCCTACTCTCCTTTGTACTAGTCAAACTAACCTGCCCTAATTTTAACCTTATCTGCTCTTGTACTAACTTTTTCTACCAAATCCAAACCAAATCCAACTCATTCAGTGCTTCAACCAGGTAAGGCGCTAATACATAACAAAAAGGTAGACTAAGTTGACTTTGTCGCACCTACTTGAATTTTTTTTTTTTTAGGACCAACCAGTTAAAGGCCTTAGCATAATGTTTCTTTGACTATAATTATGGCTAAAATCATATAGGATACGTTTTATGTTTAGATGCTATATTCTACCATAACATTTCTTGATTCAAGTGGTATGAAGCCATGTGACAGGTATGGGTGGAAATTTGCAACCATGCTCTCTGTACTAATATGCTAGACTTTGAAACATAGAGCAGGAGGACGATTGAAACAATACACAAATATGAACTCCACCTTTCAAGTCATGTCTATGTAAGCCTTTGCCCATATAGGTGGGAGCATAAAAAAATTGTGACTAACACTGTCACTGTCACTGTCCTCCCATTGTTCATCAATTTGCTCGAGCAGGCCCAGTAACATTGTGAGACTTGTTACTGTATTTGGCATATCGAATACGTCACGGGTAGCTTGCCAGGCTTTGCCGTACTGGTGAGATACTCTCGGTAACTTGCCGAGCTCTTCGAGAGCAGCGGAGGAATCGAAGGCAGAGGAATTGAACTCGGTTTGGCCTAGTTGGCCTCGTGCAAGGCAAATGCCCTACCCGCTGTGCTATCGCTCCAGCCCGTGACTAACTATCATCTATAATTTTAGGTATATCTTACAAAGTTACAAGGAGTTAAAGTTGTGCAATTCCTATTCCCTAGAAAGATTGCTCTTTTTCTTAAACTGGCAGATGCTGGACAATGACACCCTGATATCTTCTATGCTCTATCATCAATCCTCACTACTTGACACCCTCTCATTTTTCAGTCTTTAGTAAAGCATTTTGACTGACATTTAAATAAAAATAAAAGTTAAAAGAAGTATCCTCAAATATTGGAGCTCTGGGTCATCTCTGTATTTTTTCACTGGAAATAAAAGGTCAAAATTCTGAATGAAAGCAATAATTTTAAAACAAAATTAGTGGATATTAGACTACCTACAATTTAGATGTTATAATTTGAAAGTAAGAAAATATCTCATTCTCATGGAAAGCAGGATAAAATTATATGCCCATTATAGCCACTAATTGAAAGTCTCCTTTAAATACTGACTTAATATTTTCTTAAAATTATACTTATTTTTCTTTTAAAAGGACAAGTTTAATTTTTATAGCTGCAAGATTTCCTTCAAATTACACTTGTCTTTTTTTTTCAAAAAATTTCACTTGAGAGTCAGGTGTATTTTTGAGTCATTTGGAGAAACTGAGAGCTCTTAGGTATTTAAAAAACCAAAACGCTGGGCCAACAAAATTTTTTCTTTAAAATAGCACATCTCTTTATAATATAATTTAGAGCATGAAGAAAATAGTCCCCTATCTTTTTATTTTCTTAAACTTGCTTTGTTATGTGAGGTGCTTTATTACTCAAATAGATTTCAGCATTGATTGTTTGTGTCTTTAAAAAAAAAACTGCCATGGGTATTTTTATAGGTACTTCATTGAATTTGTGTAGTTTCAGAAAATTGTTTTGACAATGTTAATTTTACCAATCCATGAGCAGGAGACATGTTTTATTTATTTGTGTTTTATTTCTTTTAGTAATGATCCATAGTTTTCTTTTATAAAATTATTTCACATCTTTTAATAAGTGAGGATTTTCTTGGTATTTTTTAACTGCAATTGTGAATGATTTTTTAATCTGTTTTATTAAATTGATTGCATATAGGAATGTTATGACCTGTGCTCATTTGCTTTGTAGCCAGCCACTTTACTTATACCATTTTACGGTTTCTAGAAACATTTAAGGATTTTCCAACTAAAGTATTATGTCATCTGTAAATACTGAGAGCTTGACTTCTCTTCCTATCTTAATGCCCTTATTTTCACTTTCTTGTCTGATTGCTATGACAGGATTTCCAATACTATATTGAAAAATGGTGGTGAAAGTGGGCAACCTTGGGGCTGGAGCAATAGCACAGCGGGGAGAGTGTTTGCACGCGGCCAACCTGGGTTCGAATCCCAGCATCCCATATGGTCCCTTGAGCACTGCCAGGAGTAATTCCTGAGTGCATGAGTTAGGAGTGACCCCTGTACATCGCCAGGTGTGACCAAAAATAAAGAAATAAATAACAGTGGGCAACCTTGTCTTGTCACTGATCTTGGAAGAATTTCAATTTTTCACTGCTGAGTATGATGTTAGCTATGAATTTGTAGTAAACGGCTTCAACTAT